GCAGCCGATCAATGGCTCTCTCATCATTGATGTTTCTATCTCTCTCTCTCCCTCTCCTTTCCTCTCTCTGAAATCAATAAAGATATATTTTTTAAAAAAAAAGTTACAGAGAGAGAGAGCCTTTCCAAGAAGCCTCCAAAAATACTGAACCACACTTGCCCAAATTAAGTTCATATCCATCCTTGTGGCCAAGAAGATAGGATATGCAGACCTGCGTTCATTCTGCCGACACCTGTGACTACGAGGTTAGAGAGGAGGAAACGGAAGCCGTGAGATCCACTACAGCCTGTAAATAACTAGACTTCTTGCTGTGAAATGCAGCACGTGGTTGAGTATGCCGGTCTGGAGGAGCGGTCCCTGCGGACACCGTGGAGACCTCAACAGACTGGGTAACTCCAAGGCACATTAGTGTCACTGGGTGAAGAAAGTACGGCACATATTCCCAGAGAGAGTGGCTGTTTTTTCTTCAGTGAAAAAACAGAAACATAACCAGTTATCATCCTGGACTATGCTCAGAATTCCCTGGCTCCCAAGCCCCACCCAAAGCTTCCTGAATCAGACATTCATAGATGGGGCTCAGGAGCTGTACATTTAGCAAACACGGCCAATGGCTCTTATGCACCCAGGAAGGGGGGGGGGGCTCTGGGGACCAGTATCTAAGGCTCACGCAAAGCTGACCTTCAGTAATACACAGTATCACAGCTCTGGTCTGTGACTTCAGCACCAAGGGCCAAAACGGTCTGTGGCCTGGGAGTTCAAGCTCCACCACCGGGGAGGAAGAGAAAAAATGTGGGTGCCCCCTGGTGGCGGGTCGCCCTCCCAGCGGAGAGGCAGTCCTCACAGATTCTTCAAGGAACACGTTTCTCCCCACTTTACCACATTTTTCTAAGGCTGTGGATGACATGACTTGATTCACTCACCTTTCCAAGTGAGCGGCATTTCAGAGCCGAAGAATCGATTGCGGGGGGGTGGCAGTAGCCCCCCACCCAAAAGCGGCTCTGCAGTGAGGCAGAACTCAAGGCTCCTCACCGCCGTTTTCCTCTGGAATTCTTATTATGTGCCAAGCCCTGTTCTAAGTAACACCTTATATGTATTAGCTCATTTAACTCTCAACCTTCAGAGGTAGGTGCTATTATTATGTCTATTTTATAAACGAGGAAACTGAGGCATAAAGTGCCCAAGTAATTTTACTACATTGACTCGGCTAGTAAGGGGCAGAGTTGGCTCCAGTTCGGCCACTGTGGGTTAAAGTCAGGCCGCAGGGAGGCCACCTGCCATGAAGTCGCACAGCGTCTTGATTAATTCTGGACAACAGGGGAGCTATCTTAAGATCATTTGGATTATTATTATGTTAGATAGTGGCCATTAAAACATGGAGGGAGGGGGCAGGGTGGCATGCCTAACAATGCTTTTCCTATCCTGACATATTATGATGTGATATTCAGTGTAACCAAGTTTGGCACTGTGAAGAGCCTTCTCGTGGTAGAGTCATCTTACACGTCTTGTGGGGAGGGGGTGGAGGCAATCTGAAGGTTGGGATTGGATTTATACCAAGAGAAATGGGGACTTGGATTGCTAATCAGGGCAGTGTCTTCCTGCCACAGCATAGGAAAGGTTTAAGAAGGAGCAGGTGATGTGAGGCAGGCAAAGCTTTGCTAAGGTTGGTAAAGTGATTCCTGGAGGGGTTCCAGGTCACCCAGGGCTGGGCTGTTATCCCCGCTGTTGGAATACCTTTAGATAATGGATGGTAGCAATCAGACACAGAGTGGAAGTTACTCGCCTTTTGGACATTCCTGCAGCATATGATTATGGCATATTGAACTAACAGGCCCAAGTAAATATAGAACTCATTCAATTCAGAGTAACTTGTTGAGAAATGCTGTGCCTAACAGCTGTGATCTTCTTTGTCCAATGACTTTATTGATAAAGAGTAATATTGTACTTTATTCCATGCATTAAGGTGGGTGGTACTTTAGGTTTCTAATCTAGGAATTTATTGATTGATTGATCAATTGATTGATTCATTCATTCTCCTAACATTTATTGAATAAGGGAAAAAGACAGATGAGTGAAAATGGCTTGGGTAATTTAATTCTTCCAGAAATTCTTCTAGCAGGTCATGATCAAGAAACCATCCATATCAACATCTGACATTGTTCTGAACAACTGGGAAAAAAGCCTTTTTTATGTAGCCTTAGAGGAATAATGGTCATTTGCCCCCACAAAGCAAGACTGCCTTTGGTTTTACTAACCAGACATCATAGTTATCTTTTTTATCCTAAGCATAAACTTTCTCTTTGTTTTCATCCAATCATAAACCCTTATGACTTTTCCATTTAGTTTTTTCAGTTCCTGNCGGAACACGACCCGGCGACCGCCGAAGGTCAGGGCAGGGGGTGCTCGTTGAGCCCCACGGAACAGGGGGTTCACTAGTCCCGGGTGTTCCGCGGTCTCGGGGTCCAGAGAGAAGCCCTCTAGACACGACTCAGACTATCAGAGCCGACCCAGGGACAAGGAGGCGTGACCCCCCGGCTACGTTTCTAGGAGAGTCCCCCAGCATTTGAGAGTCGTTTTCGAGTTTGTCCCATGTGTGCAAGTCCGAGTCCGGGTGTGTGGTTCGGCGTTTCCCACCGTGTAAAAGGCAAACTCTTATCCAAAATGTATCCTTTGTGTTCCTTGAAAGCAGAAATGAGGGTAAGGGTTGCAGCCGGCTGTGTTCAGCCCCCAACCCCTCCCCCTCCACACGCGCGCACACACACACACGCGCACACACACACACGCACGCACGCACACACACACAGTCTCTCTGTCTCTGTCTCTGTCTCTCTCACTAAAGTCAGTGTTAAAGGCAGCGTGTCTGACGCACTAAAGGAAGAATTGAGGCTGTTGGATAGCAGGCGTGAGGCTGCTGCTCTCCGTAAGGGTTTCATTTCCCCGGCGCCCGGCGCGGCTCAGCCCGGGGACTGCCACGTGCCTGCCTCCGCC